TTTAAGGGGAAGCATCATGTGGAAGCTAATTTTCCTTGCTGTCCTCGCTCTGGCGACAGCCGAGCAGGTCAAATACGACAACTACAAGGTATTTCGTGTCGTACCTCAAACTGAGGAACAATTAGAAGCCGTGAAACAATTGGGATCCACTTCCGATGCTGTAAGTAGTCCTCGAACGCATTGTTCATTAAATTGTCACAGGTCAACAAAAATTATTCATTCTTATGTTCATAGTTCTCCTTCTGGAAAGAGCCGAGCACCCTCCAGAACTTTGCCGACGTGATGGTGGCTCCTCACAAGATCGCGGAGTTCCACGAAATCATGAAAAAATTGAACATGTCTTATGAACTCTACGTCCCTGATGTTCAGACCTTGATCGACAGCGAGAAGCCACCGGCACAGCCTCTGGCTACATTCGATCTGAACGTCTACCACACGCTCGATGAGATCTACGCTCACCTGGACAACCTCGCCAAGGAGAATCCCGGAAAGGTGCAGGTTCTTGCGCCTGGACAGACCTACGAGAAACGTCAGATCAAGGGAATAAAATTGTCGTTCGGTGGTAACAAGCCTGGAATCTTCATCGAAGGTGGAATCCATGCTAGAGAATGGATCACACCAGCTGCTATTTTATACATGGTGAACGAACTGTTGCACAGCAAAGACGCTAGCGTCAGGGCCCTCGCCGAGTCTCACGACTGGTACATCTTCCCTGTGTTCAACCCCGACGGTTACGTTTACACCCACACCACGGTAAGTTCCATTAAGGATGTATTGGCTATATAGTCAATCCCAAAAGTTTATGCACTTTAGAAACATTTTTTAAAAAGAAATCAGACGTCGGAAGAGCAATGCTAATAATAAACAACAAAAAAAAATTTTTCAATTTTTCCGAGATTTTTCCAAGGGGTACCCCTTCAATTTCTTCCAAATTTTCGTTTTTGGCCAATAACTCCCAAACCGTTGGACATACGGAAAAATTGCATCAGACCTTTCTTGTAGAGGACGACGAGATCTATAATCTCTGTACAAAAGTTCTTCGTTAGCATTAATAGTTTACGAGTTATTGACGAAAAACGAAAAAACGGTTTTTTGTAAATTACTCGTAAACTATTGACGCTAGCGAAATATTTTTACATGGAAATTGTAGATCTCGTCGTCCTCTACAAGAAAGGTCTGATGCAATTTTTCCGTATGTCCAACGGTTTGGGAGTTATTGGCCAAAAACGAAAATTTGGAAGAAATTGAAGGGGTACCCCTTGGAAAAATCTCGGAAAAATTGAAAAATTTTTTTTTGTTGTTTATTATTAGCATTGCTCTTCCGACGTCTGATTTCTTTTTAAAAAATGTTTCTAAAGTGCATAAACTTTTGGGATTGACTATATAGCCAATACATCCTTAATGGAACTTACCGTGGTGTGGGTGTAAACGTAACCGTCGGGGTTGAACACAGGGAAGATGTACCAGTCGTGAGACTCGGCGAGGGCCCTGACGCTAGCGTCTTTGCTGTGCAACAGTTCGTTCACCATGTATAAAATAGCAGCTGGTGTGATCCATTCTCTAGCATGGATTCCACCTTCGATGAAGATTCCAGGCTTGTTACCACCGAACGACAATTTTATTCCCTTGATCTGACGTTTCTCGTAGGTCTGTCCAGGCGCAAGAACCTGCACCTTTCCGGGATTCTCCTTGGCGAGGTTGTCCAGGTGAGCGTAGATCTCATCGAGCGTGTGGTAGACGTTCAGATCGAATGTAGCCAGAGGCTGTGCCGGTGGCTTCTCGCTGTCGATCAAGGTCTGAACATCAGGGACGTAGAGTTCATAAGACATGTTCAATTTTTTCATGATTTCGTGGAACTCCGCGATCTTGTGAGGAGCCACCATCACGTCGGCAAAGTTCTGGAGGGTGCTCGGCTCTTTCCAGAAGGAGAACTATGAACATAAGAATGAATAATTTTTGTTGACCTGTGACAATTTAATGAACAATGCGTTCGAGGACTACTTACAGCATCGGAAGTGGATCCCAATTGTTTCACGGCTTCTAATTGTTCCTCAGTTTGAGGTACGACACGAAATACCTTGTAGTTGTCGTATTTGACCTGCTCGGCTGTCGCCAGAGCGAGGACAGCAAGGAAAATTAGCTTCCACATGATGCTTCCCCTTAAAAAAATAATTAAACAATGTATATTAATATTGGAAGTCTAATTATTATACGTTGAAGTCCATAAATATTCGTACGGATTTCGAAATTGAATAACTATTTCAATACTCGTAAAAATGTTGGTAAGTAATCTCCCTCACAGCTAAGCAAAAATTAATTCGTTAAGTCCAACATTAAAAATGGTATTCAATTCTGAAATCTGTATAATGTTATTCAATATTGAGATGTAAATATTCATGGAATTGATTGTAAGAACTCGTTCAATTTCGAAAGGAAGTTAAGAGTAAGTGGACGTGTTATAATAATTATTTAAGAGAGGCAGAGTTGATCTTACCTGTTCGTTGGCGAGAGAGGATTCCGTTTCCCGGATTCCCATCTTTGTATTTAAACTGTTCCACCTGCACACGGCACCAATGGATCGCTTATTCAAAAACCGTATCGTTGATCAATTATGGAGCGTGTTCATTGGATCTAAATTCGCCTTATCGGATACTCTCGAGTGGACAGAAGTCTTTATCTGGACGATCTTATACCGATACCATTTCACAATCAGTTGCAGACGATTTTTAATTCCGGAATAATCGAAGCTTCGCTTGGCCTGTGATTGCAGACACTCTACTTGTTTCCTCGTGTCAACTGTACACTTAATTCTCATTTCAATAACAAAGTTATTCGGTGAACTGTGAGAGAATTTAATGATACGTTTCATTACTGTTTTTCATTATTTTATGATCAAACTATGACAAATCGTTTTAAAGGAAAGGATTTGAGCTGGTTGAAAGAAATAACTACAGTTTCAGGTGTATATTTAATTTATAATTAAAATTAAGTACATACACATTCGAAATCATGTATCAATACAGTAGAATCTCCATTATAGAAAATTCCAAATTCCTGTAAACTGTATGGGTGAATTCAAAACTTTTTTTTATCAACTAAATCGTATAATTAGGCTACATATTTTTCATTTGCAAGTTTTTGGTTTTTAAGGCCACTATGGCTGATATATTTTTCTGGCAGAACGTCTTGTACATCATCCACGATCAAGTTTTTATGGTATGAGAGGGTAAAAGCTTAGTGGTACAAACACAGTATTATAATTGGAAATATACTATTTATATAATAGAATATTTAGATAACAGAGGATCATATATTTACATAGTGGGTGTTAACATAACGAAGATTCTATTGTACTTCGTGCACATTATTTGGAAGAGATCTTAAGAAATGTAGTTGATTATTATTAAAGGCCTGTGGATGATCCGTAGCCAAGCTTTGCAGCCTGCTGGAACATCGCAACTAAGGAGTCCAATGTTTCTTCCGCGGTTGGTATTATCTGATTCGCTGGTAGCATGAACGCGTATCTTCCTCTGTCTCGTAGCTCGTAAGTGAACGTCACTGGAGTTTTGTAAGTTCCACGTACCCAGTCCATTGATCCACCCGATGCAACGTCTGTAGATCAAAAGAAAATGACACATCTTTCACTGTTTAAAATGTAACAAAATTTGTTGTTTAAATGTATTTGATTTTTCATAATAGTAGTCAACTGACATATTACGTCGACGATGTTTCCAACTCTATATTTAGTCCCGTATCGTTTTGCCAGGGCGTTTATCGAATAGTTTCCAATTTGTAGCAAGTCGTTATAATTCTCGATTCTTTTGTTCGTGTGACCATAAGGGATCAACAGTAATTGGCTGTAACTGTGGAACGCGATATAAGCGAATATTTTGTCTTGAATGCTGCCAATGTACTCTGACATGGTCCTCGTTTCCGTTTCGGAGAACGGCTTGTCCCCAGGATATGTTTCACTGCATGGGTTCGGGCTAGTTCCACCGTCTAAAATATTTACAAGAAACGTAACGATTTAGGGCGATTGGAAGCAGGCTTGCAAATAAGTAATTCAATTTTTGATTCAGTTGAAGACTCATTGACAATGAACGTTTGGTTTTTTAATCGGATTTTATTAATTAAGAATTAAAATTATTCCTTCCCTAATATTTTTCTTAATTGAAAAAAATTTGAATTAACGATTAAATTTTAATTCTAAATTAAAAAATACCACCAGTTGTCGTTCAACTAAGATTTAGAGTTTAATCTATTAGATTAATTTAATAGAGTTGTTAATTAAACAATCTGA